ATGATTGGGGATTCTCACACAGTGTTGATAGAACCAGGAAGCCTAGAGCCTAAAGTGGGACAATCTGATAAAAACGGGACAGGTGGCTTGGAATCAATCAACACCAGTAAAGACGCCATAGAAACAGATACGTTTATACTGAAGGAGATCGAGGCGAGGGCGGAAGCGGAGATCTATCCTCATGGATGCTGCAGTAGAGGAGTGGAGAAGATTGAAAACGTGGTCAGGAGAGTTTATCGTCGGCATAGAGCCGCTATAGGCATCGCTGTGAAGGTGACAATGTTCCTGCTTTACATCGCCTACTTCGGATACTGTGTATCCCAAAGGTTAGTTTCAAAGTGGGAGCTGAAGAGATCGTAGTTGATTAGTGTGTTTTGTCTTTTTCACGTGGTTCTCTATGGCATTATGTCTCTACATTAGATCTCTGCTACACTTGACTTACCTGATAACTTGGTTTTTGCGCTGTGTTATTCTTCTTTATCAGGGTCTGTGGTTTAGGTGTTGCGAACGTGTTTTGTAATGCCGGGAAGCCGGGTTCAATCTCAGCTGCCTTGGTTTTGAATTTAATTCGTAGCCGACGTTTTTCCCATATGATTTCAATTCTCAATGTATATTTTCTGGTCCTTATGAAGCCCTTTTTGGACATCTCATTTCCGTGGTTACTAAATTTTGTTTCTGGTTTGTGAACGACCACATCTGGGACAGGTAGCAATAAGTGGTTGCGTTGTACATAATTATAAATGTTCTTTCTTTCTTTCTCCTTCCTTCTTTCTTTCCCCTTTCTTCTCTGCTTTACGCAGTTTTCATACTCTGTCTTCCAGTTTCTACACTGACTTTTATTTATGTCGTTTCTTCAAATTCCACCTTTTTTATTTGCTCGGCTCACCTGAATATGCATCGCCCACAGTATACTTTTCATCATCATCACAGTATCATCAAGTAGCATGGCTTTTGCTGATAGTCGCATCATTTCTTGCCACAAAACCTCTCGGCGTATTGCAAACTCTCCTTCTCCTAGCAATAGCCTGCTGTCCATTAGGGGGACCCCAGTCTAGGTGGTGCATTCAGACACCTAATTATATTCGGCTAGCAATGTCAGTCAAGACGGCGATAAAACACAGATATGTGCAATTAGCAAAGGCGACGAAACCTGACAGGGTTCATGTCTCTTGAGCACCCCCCCCCCCACTCCCCCCGCCAACCTACAGAAAATTGAGTGGGGGGGGGGGGGCGCTAAGCGGTCCCTTTTATCCATATATCTTTCTCTAAGCGTTTACTGGCTGTAAACTCCAGTGCAAAGTTTGGGCAAAGAGGATCAAATTAGCCCTACATTCACAAGGAAACGAACATTTTAGACAGGTGAAAACATGACACTGAAGTGCATGATAAGTATCAGTAACGCAAGCATTAATCGTGACACGTCCCTGTTAGAACTACAGCATGCGATGATGACACAAACGGAAACAAACAAGGGAATGTCGTTAATGGGTCTTTTCTAGAACTAATCATTTTTAGGAGTGACATTCTCAGCTGGGAAAATGTGTGCAAAGATCACAGCAGGCAAGAATGGCAAAGAATCTGAAGAAGAAGAAGAAGAAGAAGAAGATATCAATTCACAAATCACATCTATGAAATAATTAAAGAATGTAAATTGTCTACTTTTGATTTGGGCAATCAGTTGTCTTCGCAAGTCAGTGTCTGTCACGAAATGTGTATTCCTCTGTTTATCTGCCAAGTGTGTTCTCGTCATTCGTCTGTAACATTAATATATGTATAATTGATACATCGTTCATCATTACTCTAGATACTTTGATGAAGGAGCATACATCCTGACGGTGATAACAGCAATCCTAGTTCTAGTCATTTTGGCCTCCCGGGTGAGCGGGCCATGGTTCAACAACCTCTTCACCTCATTCTTGGTCTGGTACGGAACCACTGCCAAAGCTCACAGACTGCGAAAGATCTGTCGATAGTGAGTACTCACCTCTATCAGTGCTTTAATTGTAAATGAATAGTTAGATAATAGCAATAGAGCACTTGACGTGCGTGAGTGTGTGTGTGTGTGTTTGTGTATGGGTACGTGTACGTACATCTGTGCAAGTTTTGATTCTGAGAACATCGTGGAATGGACAAACCAGTCTCTAGTTCTCGCCTCTGATTTACTGACAGTAACCATTTTTGTGTGTGTTCGTCCTGTAATGAGACAATCAATAATTCCTGTCTCGACTTAGGATTAGACGAAACATTCTCTGTGTTTTGTCCCCAGGAAATAAGACGAACCATCTTCCATTTCTTTTTTTTTTTCTTAAGCTATTTGGAAGAACAATTCTTCCTGCTCGTCTTCATGACAGTTTTATCGTTTTCAATACAAGAGACGAAACACTTCATGATTTCGTTCTTTGAAATACGATTAAACATTCATATTTCCTGCTAATACAAGGACGAGAAGGATCAGAACAGTGCTTTATTTGCTGTGTTCATTTTGACTACATCAGAAAACATCATCTTCACACCACAAACATTTCCATCTGACAAGGCTATGAAACAAACTTTATTTTCTCCAGTGGTCTGTACGCTGCTGCCACACTGTGTCTGGCCACCTACCTGGGCATCAACATGGCCACCAACTACAACGCTAGCAATGGTCAGGCCCTCTTGGGTATCTTCATCCTGATTCTCATGTGTTACGTGACGTCATACAGACCAAGTCGGGTAATTTGTGACGTTTTTACATCATCATCATCATCAATTTCTACTTCTGCCGTAAATCATTGTGGGGAGAAACAGTTTGCAATCCATTGCTTGATAGGCAGCAATGGCTATTGTCAGTCCGGATCGATGAAGAAGCTCTTTAATGTCATTAATCCATGTTCTCCTGTGGCGGCCTCTTGCTTTCACATCAGATATTTTTATGTAAAGTGACTGCCTTGGTAGTTGTTCTGGTTGCATTCTTGCTAAATGGCTAAAACATATGTTCTTTTGTTTCTCAATGAATTGGCTGCATAGTGCTGCTACTTTAATTTACCTGATAATATAATTTCTATCTTTGTCCCAGGTGGTTTAATTGACGGCTTTTCTCAGGCATCTCATTTCATCATCATGTGCCCTGTTAAAAGGCGTAGGCGCTCATGCGTCTCTACAGATCATAATCCTTGGTTGCCCAACACAGCTCTCTAGATGATATCCCTCCATGCCATCGTTTCAGCCCATCCAGCATCATTTCTCTTGGTCTGTCTTTACCCATTTTCCACTGATCTTTCCAGCTGTCACGATGTTCTCTGGTGTCTCTCTTCTCATTATGTGGCAAAAGAACAGTGTTTGTCTCTTTCTTTTTTTTTTTTATATAGAGATCTACTTTCATTAGTTTCTTTCAAACAATCGTTGTTAGTTACTCTGGCCGTCCAAGGTATTAGTAACATTCGTCTCAGAAACCACATCTCACACATTTTGCTTCCAAATTTATTCTTTGTTAAAGTCTTTTCCCCCTCAATTAAGATATCACAGTGTGGAGTTATATTCTTCTTTGATTTAACCATTAATTCTGTTTTTTTAATATTCAATAAAAATCCTTTCTTATCACTCTCCAGCATTCCAAGATTTTTTATATTGAATCCTCCAATTCTTGTTCCTGCTTTGTCTTTAATATCCCTCAAAATTATTTCACTGTATAGAGAGAAAAGGTGTTCAGAGGCGTTAATTTTACTTAGGTTGTCCTTTGAAAATGTCTCAGTCTGGTACTCGTAGCACCTTGTTGCTTTGAATGTGCTGTTTAGAATCTCTGTCTCGGCGCTCATAACGTATGGTTGAAGCCTTAATAACAGTGTCAGCTGGTATATAAGTGCACTGGCTCGTTGACATCTTGTTTATTTTTCCCGATCTATTCTTTTATCCACCGAGAATATACTTCCTAGATATTTACATTCTTTAACTTGCTTCAGACAAGTGCCATCATTCAACACGATAAGTAGCTGACTAGGAATTCTGCTGACATGCATTACTTCCGTTTTCGCAGTATTTATTTTCATGTTATATCTTCTGCATTTTGAAATTAATATGTTAAAATAGTCTTGCAGTCTACATCTCTCATTGTATAAAAGAAATACTGATGGTTTGCAAAATAGTAGCTCCTTGATTGTGTGTGGATATGTTTCTTCCTCTGGAAATTAAAGTACTTCGTTTTCTGGATTTTCCTTGTCGCCTGATTTAAAACTAGCTTTTTTTTTTTTAGTACATTTTTTAATGTTTGTTGTTTTTTTAACATTTTCTATTGGCTCTTTTTAAGTTTACTCATGTTGCTTGCCTGAGAAAAATGTTGTCTTTAATGTTTCTCAAACTATCAAATTCACATTTTGCACTGCAATAATATTATGTTTAAAATAGTATTTGGCAGTAATTAGGGTTAAACAGAACAGTATTTTGAAGTAGATTAGTGCTGGTGCCAAATTTCCCACCAATTCTAGAATTATTTAATGATCAGCTATCGAGATAACTTTGTTTTACACACTCTTACCGGACTATGGTACAATATTGTGATACCTTCTGTGTTGAAAATCATTTTTCAAGGAATTCATATTGTCTTTTAAGTTCTTAACTTTGCTGGGAGCCAATTTATCAGAAAATGTGCACACTTGATAAGTCAGGTCAACATGCTCAGATCATCTGATCGGTAACTTCTGTTTTTAATTGGACCGTTCTTACAAGACCCCCAAATTTTTTTTCCAATCGATGACATAGATTGCTTATCTGTAGCTACGACAAAAAAAGTCGAAAAAAAAGAGAAAACACAAACACACACACACACACACACACACACACACACATATATATATATATATATATATATATATATATATATATATGTGTGTGTGTGTGTGTGTGTATGTATGTATATATAGTGCATTTAACTGAAAATCGTAATCACGAACAACAAGCAGCTATCAGAGCAGCTGGTGAAACATCTGACTGGTTCGAGGTGCACCAGGGGGTGAGGCAGGGATGCATTCTCTCATCATATCTATTAAATATATACGCAGAAAATATAATGAGAAATGTCAAAAATGACCAGACTTGTGACAGTTAAGATCCGCTCAAAATTGGTGGCAACCCTATTCCGGAACTCCGCTATGCAGATGACACAGTCCTTCTTTCGAACAGCGTAAAGGAAATAGAAAAGCACAGTGAAGATCAAAATATATTCTTGAATTGAAAGAAAACGAAAATAATGTCCACAGATAAAACTGGCTGTCGTCCCCCAAAAAAAAAAATGATAAAGAAATTGAAAATGTCACAAACTTTGAATATCTAGGTTCTATAATAAACAGCAATGGAAACTGTTTGTCAGATGTTAAAAGGAGGATGGCCCTAGCAATGCAAAGACTGAACAGCCTAAAAAGTCTATGGTTAAGCACCAGCAAGGAGATCACAATTATAATTTTGAGAGCATGCATCTTCCCTGTGGCTACATACGGATGTGAGTCCTAGACTATCTCTCAGTCCTTAAGAAAGACAATAGGGACTTTTGGGATGAATTACTATAGAAAGATTCTAAGAATATCTTGGACAAAGAAGATGAGAAATATTGTCATCTTAAAAGATCTGAACATCAAGGAAGATTGGCTAGTAAACAGCATCCTTTCTCTTAGACACTTAGACACTTAGACACTTAGACACAGATACTTAGACACTTAGACCCTTAGATTACTGTTATAGTTTTGGGAATACTGAAAATTAAAAAAAAAAATCATCAACACTTTCATATCATAAAAAGTACCAGCGTGTTGCTCCTAAATAACAGAATCTCATAACAGACTTGCATTGTCGAAAATATAAGTCAATGATTGTGTATGTGCGATTAAATTGTTAAATAATCATAATCTTTGTAATAAGCGCTACAAATTATCAAGGGACCTCGCTTATTTTGTTATAGCCTTGTATGTTAGGTTTAGAAAGAGAATTGTGTGGCATATCTCTGCATCCGCCCCAGAGCCAAAATGATAGTACATAAAAAGCTTGACTTCACCGAGATTCCAACACATTACCTGGGTAGTTAGGTAAGTAGACAAACTGACTACAATAGTGCTAAAATAAATCTAGCCATAGACTGAGAAAACATCCATTTAACCGTGCATATGTTGTGTTTGTGTGTTCCTCGCAGGTTAACTGGCATCCAGTGTTCTGGGGCTTCATCATCCAGTTCGCTTTTGCCTGCCTAACTCTTAGAACCGAGACTGGCTACAACATCTTCAAATGGGTCGGGGACGTCATCTATAACCTGGTGCGGCTCTCCGACAAAGGTTCCGTGTTTGTATTAGGGGAGAGCTTTCTGGCAGAGAATGCCGGCTTCTTTTTTGATGTAAGTTTGAGTGCCTGACATTGAGTGTGCTTATTTTATTTATTGTTCTTAGTATTGTTGAAAAAACAATGTCTTCTCTCTCTCTCTCTCTCTCTCTCTCTCTCTCTCTCTCTCTCTCTCTCTCTCTCTCTCTCTCTCTCTCTCTCTCTTTATTTCTCTGTGTGTGTATGTGTGTGTGTGTAACATTGCCGTGCGTGGTTAAGATAGCCCCCCTTGTCTGTTACTGTCACTGGTGCATAGTTAAAATAACCTTTATAAATAACTGTATTTAGCCCTGTCTAGTTAGTTAGTCTTTCCTCTTGTGTCGAGTGCGGCACATAGGGCAGAGGTCGTGACTCTCCATGCACGGCGGTCCGTTGCAATCCGTTGTAGGTCTTGGATGTTTGAGTGGCCCATGAGCGAGCCTTCCCTGATGATAGTTCTACGTAGGGTTTCCCTTGGTCTTCCACGAGATCTTTTCCCCTGTGGTGTCCAAATGAGGGCTTGGCAAGGAAGTCTTGATTTATCCATTCTAAGGACGTGGCCGACATAGTTCCAGCGGCGTTTTCGTATAAAATTAGACACATACTCTTGCCTGGATTCTTGCCTTATTTGTGTATTGGTTCGGAAATCTGACCATTTGAAATTTAGTATTCTTCTAAGGCATTTATTTTCAAAACTGTCTAATTTTGTGTCTAGAGTTTTCGTTGATTTCCAACTCTCGCATCCATAGGTTAGTACTGGAATCACACAAGAATTGAAGATCTTGAGTTTTGTGTGTTTGCTAAGTGTCTTTGATTTCCAGATGTTAGACAGTTTATTGAAGGCACTAGATGCCAGTGCTATTCTAAATGATATTTCTGGTGCGGTATCTCCTGTAGATGACATCTTGCTCCCTAGATAAGTGAAAGTGTTGACTTTTTCAAGGCTGTTGTTGTTCAGCGTGATATCAACTGAACTGTTGGTAAGGTCTAGAATTTTTGTTTTTGCGGTGTTAATTTGGAGTCCAATTTGTTCTGAGAAATTCTGGAGTCGATTGATTTTTTCTTGGGCGTCTGTGTGTTCTGAACTCAGGAGTGCTATGTCGTCAGCGAAGTCTAGGTCTTCCAGAATTTTGTCAACCCATGTAATGCCTAAATTTTGCGTTATTTATGCACTTGCGCATGACCCAGTCGATTGCTATACCAAAAAGCATCGGCGATAGGACACAGCCTTGCTTCACTCCTGTTTCCACCGGGAACCAGTCAGAATTGCCGGAATCAGTTCTTACACAGCATCGTGTTTCATTATAAAAAGATTTTATGATGTTGATATATTTGATAGGGAAACCATAGATGTTAAGCAATTTCCAGAGTGTTGGACGATGGATACTGTCGAAGGCTTTTTGAAAGTCGACAAAGTTGATCAATAATTTCGACTGGAATTCTGTAGAATCTTCAACAATTATTCTAAGAGTAAAGATGTGGTCTATGCATGACCGCTTGGATCTAAAACCGGCTTGTTCTTCCCTTAATCTTTCATCTATGGATTTTTTCAATCGTTCTAGTAGCATACTACAAAATAGTTTCCCTGGTATCGAAAGCAGGGTGATGCCTCTCCAGTTGTTACAATCGGATAAATCACCTTTTTTAGGTAATTTGAAGATTACACCATCTGTCCATTGTTGTGGTGGGTATTCGTTTTGCCAGACTTCATCCATCAGCTGGAGCAAATGTTGCAGGGTGTTTTCATCCGCTGCTTTGAGCATTTCCCCTGGGATGTTGTCCTCTCCGGTAGCTTTGTTTATTCTTAATTTTTTAATAGCTGTTTTAATCTCCTCTATTGTGAATGACTCGCTGGAGGCAATTAGTGTTGGAGCCCTGTCTAATGACCATCAATTTATGTACCATCGCCTGTGACTGGTTAAAATAGACGTGTATCATCATCATCATGTGCTTTGCCAACCGGCGTAGGCGCTCAGGCGTCTCCACAGATCACGATTCCTGGTTGCCTGGAACAGCTCTCTTGATGATATCCCTCCATGCCCTCGTTTCAGCCCTTCCAGCATCATCTCTCTTGCTCTACCTCTACCCCTTTTCCTACTGATTTTTCCAGTTGTCACGATGTTCTCCAGTGTCTCTCTTCTCATTATGTGGCCAAAGAAAAGTATTTGTCCTCTTCGTATACGTATATGCATTCGTGCAATAGGGATAGAAGTGTTTGTTGAAATAATCGAGGATGGCTGTGTAATTAACATAACCGTGTGTGTCTAAGTAGTCCAAATAAAAGTGTATGGCTGTGTACTCAGATCTAATCCCCTCTGTGTGTCTGTCACTTTTCTCCCTACCAGTTGTTTTCAGATAGGAAGTTTAAAAGCCTCTACGAATGCTGTAGTACGACACAAGTCCTTCACTGATCCATACAGCTTGTTTTCACCCTAATCTCTGTATTCATTGTGTTACATCTTTAGGTATCTGTCTTCAGTGTATCTAAGAGATAAAACGCTAGCACAGTATTTATACCAATCAGTGCTGCGAGCGGGCTGAGACCCTTCAACGGATTTGTATCCAAGAATATCTCCTAAAATTTATGTCAGACTTGGCTCAGCTGACAGTTCAGAATGCATCATTCTTGCAAATGTACCTTGTAAATATTGTTACTGTTTTTAAATGTTCAATATGTCTGTTTACAATGTGTCTTTGTCCAATGCATCTGTCCTCAGAGTACTATTCTTATGTGTCATTTGTTATTGTTAGTTAGTCGTTAATAGAGGCTGCAACTTCATTGCATATGGATCTCGCAGAAACTGGTATGTTAATGTGTCTGTGCAAATTACACAATATGTCATTGACTGTCTAATTCGAAACACTAAAGAAAAACACACCAGTCCCATCAGAATCTTGAAGCTCGCAGGCGCAAATTGAGTGTATAAGGCAGCTCTCAGGTGTGCCTTTACTAACAGTCCTCCATCAGAATTGCAGCTCACGGCTGAAACAAGCCGTCACTCATGAAAGACGTCATCACACAAACACAATGCTGCCTTAGTACACGCCATTCCGAACGTAATCAACCACCAGTCATTTTGAGAGCAATTCACAATGCAAAACTCACGGGCAGAACAAAAACAGTGATTCCAAATGAAAGCGTCCTAAGCACTCAGCTCAGCAGATGGGCGATGGAACGTTTATCAACTTATAACCGGAACCTTTACCTAGTCTAAATTCTTCTATCCCTAGTGTATCTCTTGCTATTGGTTTCTTTCTCGGTGTCTAGTTCTTAGAGTATTAAGTCTCAATTTTCACTTACGCAGTATGTCTATTCTTAATATATTTATATATCAGTGTGTCTATTTATCAGCGTCAATTTGCCTAAAGTGTGTCTTCCTAGTCTATCTATCCTCAGTGTATAAGAATCCTAAATGCATTTATTCGAAGGTATCTATTCTCAGTGTGTCTATTCCTAATGTATCTATCCTCAATACATCTTTCGAAGTCTGTCTATTTTTAAATGTATCTATTCTTAATTTATATAATCTCAAAGCATCCATTCATAAGGAAACCATTCCTATTGCTTGTATCCTCAACGAATCTATTTTCAGTGTGTGGCTGTTTTTTTTTTTTTTCTTTATGCCTCTGTTCTTGGTGTAAACATTATCCATGACTATACTCTCAGTGTACGGGCGTCATGGTGTTTTTCAATGCCTGCATCTTTCTCATGGAGTACTACGGAGTTCTAGAGTTCATTGTCCTGAAGATCGGGCGTGGGTTGGCTGTGTGCCTGGAGACTGGTCCTGTGGAATCTGTGGTCGCTGCAGCAAATATATTCATCGGTTTGGTAAGTGATTTTCCTCTTGTTGTAAAAAGGCCAATGTTCTGTTTTTTCTTCTCCACTTCCTATTTTACAGAACAGCTCGGGTGTCGAGGCAGTGAATGGACAGTATTATCGGCATTAGTAGTGAAGAACTACAATTTACTTTTTGTCTCATTCTGATTTACTTTGGGGGGGGGGGGGGTGAAAGGAGGGGGGAAGGTGGGGGGAAAAGGAGAAAAAAAAGAAGACTAAAATAGAAGAAGAAGAAGAAGAAGAAGAAGAAGAAGAAGAAGAAGAAGAAGAAGAAGAAGAAGAAGAAGAAGAAGAAGAAGAAGAAGAAGAAGAAGAAGAAGAAGAAGAAGAAGAAGAAGAAGAAGAAGAAGAAGAAGAAGAAGAAGAAGAAGAAGAAGAAGAAGAAGAAGAAGAAGAAGAAGAAGAAGAAGAAGAAGAAAGAAGAAGAAGAAGAAGAAGAAGAGAAGAAGAAGAAGAAAAAAGAAGAAAGAAGAAGAAGAAGAAGAAGAAAAGAAGAAGAAGAAGAAGAAGAAGAAGAAGAAGAAGAAGAAGAAGAAGAAGAAGAAGAAGAAGAAGAAGAAGAAGAAGAAGAAGAAGAAGAAGAAGAAGAAGAAGAAGAAGAAGAAGAAGAAGAAGAAGAAGAAGAAGAAGAAGAAGAAGAAGAAGAAGAAGAAGAAGAAGAAGAAGAAGAAGAAGAAGAAGAAGAAGAAGAAGAAGAAGAAGAAGAAGAAGAAGAAGAAGAAGAAGAAGAAGAAGAAGAAGAAAAAGAAGAAGAAAAAGAAGAAGAAGAAGACGGAGGCGAGGACGAAGACGAGGACGGAGACGTAGACGAGGACGAGGAAAAAGACGACGAGGAAGACGACGAAGAGGAAGACGACAAAGAACAGAAGAGGATGAACAGACAGAGGAAGAACAGAAAGAGGAAGAAAATAAAGATGAAGAACGAAAGAGGAAATAGAGAACGAGGAAGAACATGAAGATCGAGGGGGAAATATAGGCGAGACTGAAGAGAGAGAGAGAGAGAGAGAGAGAGAGAGAGAGAGAGAGAGAGAGAGAGAGAGAGAGAGAGAGGGAGACAGAGAGGGTGTGTCAAGAAGCATCAAAAAAGCTACTCGTATAGGATATTGTTGTGTTTTGAGTAAAATGAAGCCATTAAAAAAAAAAAGTAAACAAACAAAATGTCACGTCCTGTTCTCAATAACAGACCAGCTGGAGCTTCGTATGTGTTGCTGTTGATAGTAAACAAAGGAAATATATATCTAATAACGACACTTATGTCAAACTTGGTGAAACTGACATTGTTGTTTTAAATCTTTTCTGCGAAAGCTACTTAATTATTATTTTACTAGATTACGGGTGCATGTTCATTACCCTGTTACTGTTGTTATATGTAGGAAACCGACTGTGTGGAACAGAAGGTAAGAGACATATACGCGAAACAGATTTGTTCGCTATGTAAAAAGTGACAAGAGACATTTTTATGCACTCATATTTTCAGTCTTGAGACTGAACAGTAAAAATGAGAATAAAACTGATCGTATGGTCGCGAAAATTGGGCACTTTTAAAATCTTAAATTTTTAAAATTTTTAAAATGAGTTAAACATTAGAAGAAAATGCCTCTTTCCCTAAGCAACTGATGGATGTGAGTCAGAGACTTTCTGTCTTGAAATAAATAAAACAATCGGAACTTTTGATAAAAAATTCAGAGAATACTGTGGAACACGAAGAAGAAAAACGTCGCTTTCCTGCATGACATGAACCTCAAGAAGAACTGGCCCATAAACAGCATCTTGTCCCCAAAGCTGAGGTATTTTGGTCACGTTAAACGTCAAAGTGAAATAAAGAAAACAGTGATAAAGGGTGCAGTTTCTGGCAAAATAATTAGAGGCCGACCACGGCACATGTGGATACAGGACATTGTCTATGAAAGCGCACGGGGCTGGAGAAATGGCTAAAAAATGCTTTCAGGTGTGGCTTAAAGAGAGCGACGTTCTGTAAAGAATATGCTATCCATTGATTTGTTGACTGACTGATTGACTAAGTATATCACTAGGTATAACTGGGGACACGTGTTAAGAACATGCATCTCTCTGTGACAAAACATGGGCGTCAATCATGAGCAGTTTCATAGTCAACACAGAAACTCACAGACCTTTGTTCTTAAACGTTGCCGATTTTCAAATCTCCTGGAACAAAATGAGTTAGATATTACTATCTGCAAGTCCTGCAAACTGTCTCGTAAACAGCTTCGTGTGTAGTAAACGGATACACTTGTGCCAGAAGAAAAGTAACAGCATCTGAGAAAGAGATCAAATGAAAGGATGATTTTAGAGAGATAACGCATGGTGGTAGACTAGAAGTATAAAGGAGATAGCTTGGACAAAACTATATAATAGCTAGAAAAACGTAGAATGATCCATGGGGTCCAGGGTTCTAATAGCAGTAAAGTTCTGCAAAGGGCTCGCTAGAAAATGCTAGAGACGGTAATTTTTGACTCATATACGCAATATTTGATGGAAAATCAAGTCTGCTGGAGGTAAAAACTAAATTAAGAATTGGCTTCTGGAATGTAAGAACCATGTTTGAAACGACCAAAACCGCCCAAGTAATTAAAGAAATGCAGAACTATAAAACATATTTTTGGAATAAAAGAAAAAGGGTGCGCCTAAAAAACCACATCGAGGGGAACGATGGAAAGTGACCTGAGTGCAGCATCTTTGACATGGAAAACTGTACTAAAGATTGCACAGGACAGGAAAGCATGGAAAGTTCTCTCTGAAGCCTCGTGTGCCACTATGCATAACGAGAACTGATGATGATGATACGCAAAATTTAATTAAATAACGATTTAGTATCTCTTTTATTAAACTCAAATTGCTTTCAAAATGTGTGTTTAAGTCGGAAGCGCCATTGCTCATACGACCATATCTACCAACTGTGACCAAGTCGGAACTGCACGCCATTATGACCTGTGGTTTCTCAAGTATTTCTGGGGCTTTCATGGCCATGTTTATCAAAGTCGGGGTAAGCAAACCTGAGTGTTACTTTACATATTCGCGCTACTACTGAGTGTGTCTTCATGATAGTGTGGTGAAGTTTGGAACATTGGCTTATATATATAGGTTACTAGGATCTGTCTGTGTATGTCCTTTCTCCAGCTACTGCCACCGAACATATACGAATTATTTTCAATGTAATGTATGTAATTATAGTTACGCTCAGGTGTAGGGGAAATATAGATAATTAATTTTTTGTTGTTGTTGTTGAATTCATAACCATGAAAACAAGGAAACCAAGAAGCTGGACAAAAAAAAGTGTATGAAGAAAATGAAAATGATCTACTTTTCTTTTCAGGAGATAATATTTAAATAATTTGGTAGGAACCTGAAGGACAGGAAACAAATTAATCTGCCTATACTAAAATATGTTGTTAGCTTTGCAGCCTTGCAATGGACACCAGTGATAACAAAAGCATGTGTGTGTGTTTTTTTTTTTTTTTTTCAAACATTAACTTTTGTTGACTGAGGTTGTGTGCTTTTTTGTCAGAGAACACGCATAAGAAAGGGAGAAAAAAATGGAGCACTAAACATTAAAATAGTGTTTATGTTGTTTGCTAACCGGCGTTCCCAGCATAATGCCTGCTAGTTGTGATCTTCTTCCTCTTTAACTTTCGTTCACTTAAAATAGATTGTCTATATATGCAGTTTTATCTCTAGTACCTACTTCACTGTATGTTGTAATTCACTCAGCGACCTGTAAAGTTTAACTCTCACCGGTGTTTCTCTTGGCCAAAAGATTTGCCTTGATTCGTTGTATTTAGGACGGTCTTGGAATACATGATCTGTTGTCTCAGGTGCTAATTCACATGTGATCGTGGCTCATTCGCGAATCCTAAATTCTGTGTACATATGACTGCAAAGTCAATTGTCTCCGTTCTAAGGCGTAGAATAATCACTTGCTCTTGTCTTTTTAATATATGTTAATTGTTTTTTTTTCCGGTTTTGATGGCTTTCTGATTGATTTAATTATACTCTTCTTCTGTTGATAAGAGACTGTAACGTCAGGCTGTTCTTTGTTTGCACCTTAGCTAATCAGCTCTCTCATTTCCAGTAACTTCACAGTGGGATGGTATCGCATAGTTACTTTACACCGGTTGCCTAATTTAGAGAGTAGTTGCCGTATGCTAGTGGTGATAATGTTGCTCTCAACAACTTAGTCCATGGGATCCATCCTACCTTATCAGATACGTAGGGGATAATATTCTATTACACCTATTAAACAGCTCGTTTTTTCGTACACCAAATCTAATTGTATTTACCAATTTACATGTAAGTGCCCGTTGACTTACATCGGTCGAACGGAGAGACAGCTTAGAAATAGAGTGGCAGAGCACATACTTAAATGGCTAAATACACAGCTCAGTTATTCTTCATCGTTGTCGAAACCAGTTGAGAGGAAATAACCCACTTCTTCCATAGTATATCATCTACTTATTTCCTTACACGTAATTGACACAGACAGAGCTTTTCGTTTGGTTTATCACACTCCGAACAGGAGACTTTTGAGAATGGCTGACGCTTTAACACTTAAAATCAACAACTCCCTCCTTTGTAGGCAGACGGAATTTGTAGTAAATTTGAAGTTGCCCTGGTAGTCACGTGACTACGGTGAGCTTCCGATGGCCAAAACACACAATGTGTCGAAAGAAACTATTCGCATTTCAGCTGGATTTATTTATTTTTGTGCTTTATTTTATGTTGATGTAACAGAAACACACCTGATGAGATACAGCGAAATATGCCTGGCAATAAATTGTGCAATGTATTGTTTGTATCCGCATTATTTAAATACCATTCCTAATTGGCTGCAAATCACCCAGAAAGAAAAGGCAGCCATGAAAAAAATTGGCGCGGGGAGATAGACTTAGAATATACACATATGTATATATGTGTATGCTGTGTGTATGTGTGTGATTGCATAAAGGATGTAGGCTGAGCTTCTCATAATATTGTTCTTCTTTATGTTTCCCTTAGACATCTTGTTTTTCTCAGATTGTTTGTTCCTCATTTTAGAACTTGTTTTACAATTCTTTGTTCATTTCGTCTCAGACATTTCTCTGATCTCCTCACTTTTATTTTTTTTTTTAAAGTTTATCCTATTTTCTGTTTATGATTTTACACACACACACACATCGCTCACACACCACACACACACACATCCCACACACATATACACACACACACCTACAAGCCAAAAGAGTGACTTTATCTATATTATAGTTTACTTGTAGCATAATGACACAATTTCTCATATCTGTAGGGAAAGTATGTCCGTGATTTCACTCTCCCTTGCAACAGCCAGTCATTTCATCAGAGCCACCAACATCCCAATGTTTGCAACTCCAGAAATGTAGAATCATGTACACGTAGACCATGTAGAATAATGAGACAAGAGCACATGGTTCTATAAACAGTATACCCTTGACTCCTGCAGGCGCCGGCCAGTCATCTCCTTACAGCTGCCGTCATCTCAGCCCCAGCCGCGCTTGCGATCACAAAGCTCATGTATCCAGAGGTAGAGGAGGTCAACTATGCCAGCCAGAGGAACATCAAAATGAGGGATGACAGGTGAGTCAACTGACCACTTGGTCAACACAGACGAGGAACGGCTGGTAAAGTGGTTAGAATGTTTGGCACAAATGCAGGAAATCCGGGTTTGAAACCTCTGTTAAGTGATAGACGGTTTTCTTTTTCTATATTTCTCTGTAGGGGCAAAAACAAACCTGTGCAACAGTAGCGACTGCACTACCTATGAGGCACGGGAACCTACATCTTAAAGCTTAAAACCCACTGTACGACCCGCCCTAAGAATAATCATTCATACATACATACATACATACATACATACATACATACATACATACATACATACCTACATACATACATACATACATACATACATACATACATACCTACATACACACACACACACACACACATACATACATACATACATACATACATACATACATACATACATACATACATACATACATACATACATACATACATACATACATACGACATACATACATACATACATACATACATACATACATACATACATACATACATACATACATACATACATACATACATACATACATACATACATACATACATACATACATACATACATACATACATACATACATACATACATACATACATACATACATACATACATACATACATACATACATACATACATACATACATACATACATACATACATACATACATACATACATACTACATACATACATACATACATACATACATACATACATACATACATACATACATACATACATACATACATACATACATACATACATACATACATACATACATACATACATACATACATACATACATACATACATACATACATACATACATACATACATACATACATACATACATACATACATACATACATACATACTACATACATACATACATACATACATACATACATACATACATACATACATACATACATACATACATACATACATACATACATACATACATACATACATACATACATACATACATACATACATACACATACATACATACATACATACATACATACATACATACATACATACATACATACATACATACATACATACATACATACATACATACATACATACATACATACATACATACATACATACATACATACATACATACATACATACATACATACATACATACATACATACATACATACATACATACATACATACATACATACATACATACATACATACATACATACATACATACATACATACATACATACATACATACATACATACATACATACATACATACATACATACATACATACATACATACATACATACATACATACATACATACATACATACATACATACATACATACATACATACATACATACATACATACATACATACATACATACATACATACATACATACATACATACATACATACATACATACATACATACATACATACATACATACATACATACATACATACATACATACATACATACATACATACATACATACATACATACATACATACATACATACATACATACATACACATACATACATACATACATACATACATACATACATACATACATACATACATACATACATACATACATACATACATACATACATACATACATACATACATACATACATACATACATACATACATACATACATACATACATACATACATACATACATACATACATACATACATACATACATACATACATACATACATACA